TAAAATTCCAATGAATTACAAAAAATTTATGTGACTAAACAATATGTACATCCATTACACTTTACGGAAAATCTCAAGTTTTGAAATGACACAGAGAAAACTAAAAAATTATTCCTTTGTATTTCTATCATTTGTATTGAAGCCTGGGCGTTTGCAAAAAAAATATAGCTACGAACGATGAAAATCGAAAGATAAATAAATAAGTGGTTAATATTTAGTCAAATGAAAATTTTCAATAATTTTTTTATGGAATAGGAGCAGGAAATAATGTTACTCATACGTCATATACGCCATTTTCTTTGTTAAAGTTGGCATTTTTTCCACTCGCAATGTAAATTAAAAATAAAAAAGTCTTGGGAAAATTAACTGAAATCGAAAAAATGGTATACTACTAGGAGCAACAACACAATGTAGTGTACCAAATAAAGTGCAAGGGCAATGATAACGAAAGCTGCAATAAATGCTACGTAGGCACAACAAAAAGAGCGTTGGGTATAAGAATCAATGAACACCGAGCGGACGCGAGAAACAAAAAGATGACAACAGCACTGGCTCAACACTTAACAACGCACGAACATATAGCGGACTTCGGCAACACAGAAATTTTGGACATCGAAAGAGGAGAAAGAAGGAGAATGACACTGGAGAGCCTACGAATACAACAACAATTGGACAACGCAATCAACTTTAAGGAAGACGTCGACAACACGAAGAACACATATGCAGCCGTACTAAAATTAAAATATAAATAAGAATACTTCAGTAATTCTTCCTAAATGTTGTATTACCTTCAATGTGTGCAAATTATTGTAAAATTCTTGTCAATATTTAATGTGAGTTTCATGTGATATCATGTGTGTAGATAATTAGTGTTAAGTATACATGTACATATGTAACTATTGTTGTGTATATATGTATGTATGTATGCAACTATTATTATGTTTTTGTTAATCATGGTTTCCGTTCGTTCTTCATGTTTATTGTTTATCGTTTAAATAAAACAGACTCCCTGAAGATGACACAAGAGTAGTGTCGAAACGCGTAGGAGGGACCAGGGAAAAATATAAGCATTTCGCCTTTTACTCCATCGGCCGAAGCAGCTCCAACCCAGCAAACAAAATTCATAGGAATTTGGCCCATACAAAGATATTTATTTATTTTTTTTTTAATGACTTTTGTTTTAGCCAAGTGGTTCTTATTTTATTGACACTTTTGTTTTTGTATTTGCCACTGATAGCTAGGAATGACTGAAATTTTTTTTATCATTCGCCTTCCCGAAAGCCTGGTTCGATTTTCAGTTTTTTTTTTTTTAAGCTTAGATTTCATTGCTGCATTTTGGGCCAAGCACTGAAAAAAATGCTTTTAAATAAAATATTTTCATGAACATTACAGTCTATTTAGTATGTATGTATGTTAAATTGTTCATATGTGTATTAAAAGAATGCTATTCACTTCGAAACGACTAACACATTTATTTCTACCGCGTCTAACATTCACCATTTGCCGTAATTCCCACGGCATCAGCTGCACATTGCCAATGGTGGTACGCGCATGCACCGAGCTAAGGACTCATTTGAAAAGTACGTGCAGACGGAAATTGAAAATAACAGCTAGTCATGCAATTGGTATTATGTGAGAAAAGCAGTTTTGAAAACGATTATTTTAATGTGGGAGTTGCAAGTGGCAGGCATTCGCACCAATCGCTTCATACAAGTAGATAAAATTACACATTCTTAAATAAAAAAAATTTACTCAATTTTAACAACATATTCATAGCTAAATATTTGAAATATTTTCTTGATAAAATTTTATAATTTGTGTATTTTATCTGCACATGCATATGTATGTCCATTCAAATATGTATACTTAAAGGTGTTTACCCAAGTGTGCTTTGTATGCACATGTCCTTGCATTCTCTGCTGCGTGATACTCTTGGTTCGTAGGAAATACTATTACCAAATCGATGGAATGCATTATTTGCTGTTCAATTATGCTTTATGGCGTGACGGCATGCGAGACTTGAGTTCGTCGACAATGCACTCAAGCATTTAATGCATTTTAAATATTTCCGCTAGCAAGTGATTTGGAATACTATGTGGCAATGTGGGTATGTACATTAGATCTAACCACCTTACAAGCAAACAAAAAAAAAGTGAGTCTTAGGTCTCCTAAAGAGAAATATAGTGTGCCGATTCTATACTATTTCTACGAAAAAAATTTGTTTTCCCCATATAAATGCATGGGAAACTTTGAGCGCTTTGAGTGACCACTAAAGATTTTTTAATTTAAAAACAACGGAGTATTTTTTTTTTTTTTGAGGCCTACTTAACTTTTTTCACATGCATTTTCGGACCACCCTAATTTACATACATAATAAATATGCCCCAAATCGTTATGCATTGTAAACAAATGACAGCACTCACACAGCAACAATTTGCCAAAAGCTTTGATTTCGAAATTCACTAACAAAAACGCGCACTCACACACGCGACGTTTGCAACTCTAGAGATATTTCCTCGCTCCACTAGCCAGCAGCAACCAATAAAAAATGGACTCAGACAAATGTCCTCAAAATAATGATATTCATAAATATAAAGAAAGTAGATAAAAGAATAAACTAACCAAATATGGAAATATTCGTAGAGGCAAATAACTGTAAATCGTATGCCATTAAAACTATTGAAAAAGTACTTGTGATCAACGACGACTTGGGGCGACTACTAAGCTTGCGGCATTCAAGGACACTCAACAATGCAACAATGAGTGGCTTGGCATAGCTATTCATGCTGTGTGCGTCCTTTTAGTGGATACATATGTATATACTTTATATATGTATTTAAGTATGTACATTTGCAAGTTTGGCTAGTCTTCTTAACGATGCTCTTATGACACTTTATCAATATTGAAATTTAAGCATAAAAGCGATGATGACAGTGAGCCGGTCTATTGAAAGCGAAATAAAAGCTAAAAGCAAAACAAAAGAATTCAGACACGCGCCACCAACTGAACGAAAACAAAAATAAGCTTTAACAAGCAGATAATAAAAGAAAACATTTAGCTTTTTGTCGCTTGAATGGTTTCAGTCTATTAAAAACTTATCAGTAGTCAACTTTCGCACGATAGCCTTGAACTAATTTTTGGAAAGATTTACTTATAAATATGTGTGTATAGGGTTTTCAATTTTCTTCTTAGGAAAGTAGAGTAAAAAGGAGTATATTTATGATTATGTATTTTAATTTGACTATTTAGTTTTAAATCATTAAAGGACTTACCTAGAGTGCAGAATAGTTTTTGTAAAATTTTATTTTTAAGTCACAATTGCAACTCTGCCAATTTCGCATTGGCAACACTGTAAATTTTATAGTATAAAAACATTGATGCCAGCAGTCGAGGCGAATTTAGGGGATTAAAACCTCCCCTGTTGCAGGGAAATATACATACAAATTTGCCATTATTTAGTTTAAGATAATAATGGTAAAAAATATTTAAAGATCTGAAATATTTAAGATCTCTTTTCAGAAATAGTAGTCGAGAGTTCTAGCTTTAATTTAAGCCAGGAAAGTTCTATCATCTATTCGAGGACTTATATTCAATATCCTCTATCTGCACTTTTCACAAAAATGAGATTCTGATATAAAAATCCACCTAAGACTCAACGGTCTTTGGTGATATCAATGCTGACCTTGTATAACTATTCAATAGTTACTATTGACAGAAGAATTTGCTATTAAATTGCAAAGCCAGAATTGACATCAGTGATGACAGCTAATACGATGTTTCCACGATTCATAATTCGCTCTCTCATTCGTCATTCGTCATCAAATTACCCTTCGAATTACGTAATTCGCCATACAAAATTTTGAGAGCGAATAACCTTAAGACGAACGAATCGGTTCCTTCTCTAATATTTATAAATATATAAAATAAAAATAAAAAACAAAGCCGAATTACTGCCGTACTGCGAATAGCGAAGAGCAATAAGTAGAGCTGCCAAACGAATTACGAATGTGCCGTGGAAACAGATTAATTAACGAATTACTTGGCGAATTACTTAGAGAGCGAATTATGAATCGTGGAAACGTCGTAAAGCTCTCAGATCGGTCCTAACGTCACAAAGTAGCTATTGTGAAAATTGCAAATAGAGGGTATTGAATGTAAACCCTCGTTTTGTTTCTTAAATAATGCAAGAAACGCGATTTTTGACACTTTGACCTCGTTTATTTTTTTTGTTCAAAATCTGGAGCTGATGGAAACTTTATGCCTACGGATTCGTAATCAGAACAAAAAAGTCTATCAAAAACAGCGTTAACGTTTGCCGTACCAAAATTATTTATTTTTGTTGGCTGTTGTAGCCATTAAAAATTAGCAAAAATTAAGATTTCCGCTTTTTCTGCAGAAATTTTACCCTATGTGGTCTATAATAACCTTCACTCCCATATTTAGTTATAGTTTTGCAAAATAATTCAATGAATATAATCATGCATGTGCAGGCATGGGCAGATTATGAGCACACAATGGGCTAGCTCTTCTCAATATTTATCGCAATCTGGATGTTAATAGCTTTGATCCACACGCTTTCTGAGCTGCTCCGCCAATTAGAGCGTAAAAATAAGTCACTCTCTCCCAAGTGTCAAAAATGTGTCAATACGTGCCGAAAGTGTCCAGAGCGTAAGGAACTCAAAAAAACATTTCGAGCCCGGAATCAACAATAATCTCTGTCCGGAAAAAAAGTCCGGGCATAAAAACCCCCTAAAGAGAAATGCTGCGGCCCGCCCTGCATGCATATATAGTACATACTTTGTACTGAAAATCGAGTGCGTACTAATGCTCCCTTTTTCAATTCAATTTCAATTTCATTTAAAAGTACCATTTCGGATGAATATTTGTTAGGAGCTAAGCATAATCTTAGCTTTCCAGCACACTCCCTAGTAATTCTTGTCAATTGTCTTAATCATTATATGTGTACTAATATTTGAACTATTTTTCTTGTATCATTTCAGAACTTATGATGGCATCATTCGACTGCGAGGAGCCAAACAATGCAGAAAAGCTTATGTATGATTTAAACTAGGAACGCACAAAATGTTAAAGTGGAATAAGGCAACAACTTTCGTTGCATAATAATTACTTCTTTTTTTTGTATATATGTAAATATGTATGTAAAACATCAAACATAACGCTACCTAAATGTGAAAAGGTGCTAAGTTCATTTTTCTTCAAAATTTAGATTTGATGCGGAATGGCAGTTAATGCGAAACATCGATTTTTCGTCTCTCCTGAATTTAAAAAAAGATGGCGCCTTCTCACGTTTACGTAACGATAATTTAAATTATAAAAAGGTTTTGTAAACAAAAAATTGTTCAGACCACAGCTGGTGCTTACAAACTAAAAGAAGTCTACCTTTAACAGAACATGGACCGATTCTCTCAAGTAAAGGGTTCTTACTAACCGCCTGGACTGCCAAAATTTGTAGCAGCAAGCTACAGTGGATGCACTTTGACAGCAAACGAGTCAGTGCAGCAGATCTATTGGGAATATTAACGTAGACTTTCCGAGAAACATATACTTTGGACGGTGATGATCCCTTATCCGTAGCTTTTTAACCCTCTCAGTACCTGCGGGACATTATTTAAGAAAATTCGCATGGTTTGAGTTTAAAGTAGCGATTCATCGAGGGCTAAGTATTAAATTCTGATAGCAAACAAAAAAAAATTGTGTAAAAAAACAATTTTCTGCTAAACAAATTCTTTAATTTCAACTAAACAATAATTTCTTCAAATTTTTTTCCAAGAAAAAATTTATCAAAATTTCCACAATTTATTTCCTCCAAATATGGTTTTTCTCACAGAAATATTTTTTCCCCAAACATTTGTTTTTTTTCGCAATTAAATTTTTTTTATTTAATATAATTTTGGTAGATATTATTTTCCCAAAAAAAAAATTTTCTCATAATTTTTATCGTTAAAATTTTTTTAAAAAATATGCGTTCTCCTAAAATAATATTTTCCGAAAAAAAGGATTTTTCCCCTAAAATTTGTATATATTCTTAATATTATTATTTTGCTTTAGTTTTTAATCCTAAAAATAGTTTTTCCCAAAAGAAATGATTTTTACTGCAGACAAAGTTTCTGTTTTACCTAAAAATAAAATTATTTGTAATGCTTGGTTTTTTTTTCTAATTTGGGTAAACATGCATTTTTCCTAAAAAAAATTGTATTCCTAAATTTTGTGTTCTTGTAAATTTAAAAAAAAAATATAATATCGTAAAAACAATTTTTTTCTAAAAAAAACTCCAATTAAAGAAATTCCTAACATATTACGAAAACAGAAAATATGTATGTATATATAAAACTCCTAAAAGCATACACAATTTCCATTTAAGTGAAGTTTTGAGTGGAGGTTTTTAATAGACTTTTTGGGATATATGCTTCCCATGATCCTGAAAGGGTTAAGCTTTCCCTAGATTTTATATGGCCACACATAAAAGCTCTATCTGCGCATTACAGCTTTACTGGGCAATTCTGGCAACTGTCTTCCAACTCACCACAATCTTGCGAAAGACAATTGTCAATTCTGGCCACTTATCTTGAAGGCTCTTTTCCGTCTTTCGAAAGAGTATTGAAAATTTGCTGACGAGGAGGTCTTAGCGTTATGCTGAGGTTTTCTAAAAGATGAATGAAATTAAACAAAAAAAAAATGTTTTTAAAACAATAAAAACTAGAAAATTAGTTTAAAAGAATAAAAGAAAATAAATTAAAAAAAGATGAAATAAATATAAGTTTTCTAAAAGGAATTCAATTAAAGAAATATATTTTTCCTTTTATAATAATAAAATCTAATAAATAAACTAAAAGATAAAAAGAAATAATAATCTAAAAAAGGAAAAAAATAAGTTCCCAAAACTTAAATGGAATTAAAAAATATATATATTTTCTTGTTAAAACAACAATATTTTAAAACTAAAAAAAATAAAAATATAAAGTAAGAAAAATAAGTTTCAAAAAATTTAATAATATAAAAATAAAATCTCAACACTAAAACAAAATTTTATTAAAAAATAAAAAATTGTATTTAAAAAAATACATAAAATACGTGTTTAAAAATTAAATTAAATAAAAAAAAAAAATTTAATCCATTGACCGAGTATTCTAACCTCGGAGCAATGCTTTGTTCACTAGGCCATTTCCTTTTGGCACATGCTGAAACGGTTTCTGTCAAAAGAGCTTTTCACTGTGAAAATTGGCAAGAGAGCTTTTTGCAAGACTTTCAGCCAGAATTGCCCTGTTAGAGTCTTACTAGAGCACCGAGATATTGAATTTATTCAGGCACATATCTGTAGACGGAATCAGACCACAAAATAGCAACAAATTTTAAATGAATTAAAATACTTTAAATTCATTTAACACGCTTAACTACAGCTTTAAATTCTTCATATATTTTATGTACGCTCATATTCTTAGATTAGCCCCCCGTTTCCGATTCGACACTTAAGCAACATAGATGAAATCATTTGAATTTTTTCTCAACCAATTTATGTGTTTATGTTCACTCAATTGTGTGTAAATATAAATTTATTTTGAAACTCAATTAACTGTAAGTAAATAATGGCCGAAGATAAGGAGATGCATACATATACATAATGTTTGTACATACAACTGTACAATTAAGCAATTAATAGATATTAAGTGAAAAATGAATATATTTGTTTGTTGTTTATATGTATTTTGATTTAATTTTATTTTTTGCACAACAAACGCGATATTATATTTATTTTGTAAACACAAATAAATGTAGCTGAAGTTTTGATATTTGATACTAATGCCATAAACAAAAAGTTGTGCGATTTTTTCTCTGATAATTTAATGAATTTAATTTAGTAATAAATATTTTATGGAGTTTATAAACGAATGATTTAGTATACATAGCATCCTGTTAAACAAAGAATGTTTTTATGAACAATTTTTTGCAGCATCATTTAGTATGTATGTATGTGTGTATGCACACATATATGTTGTATGTATATATTTTGTTTACGCTTGATGAAATATGCAGATGTCAGGTGGTGCTTGTATTTTATATAACTGCAAATTTACATAGTGTCAAATCGGGGCATGTGTATTTGTAAATAAATGAATGATTTAAAATTGTTAAAAAAATTTTATCAGTCAATCAGTTGTATGTATTCACATACCTATGTACATTAAGGTGCATCACTCTCCATACAAAAAAAAAAACAAAAGCTCGGTGTTGTTTTTCCATCGGAAATACAAATTATTGGATTTTAAGACTTGCGCCGAAATGTTTCGGAAAAATATTTACACTTACGTGAGCGGCGCTTTTTTGAAAATACCTCCAAAAATCGAGTGTTTTATAACTAAGATTTGTTTTCAAAAATATTTTTTCTGAAAAATCGCCGTTGATCCAAAAAGAGTTTTATCTTAAGCGGGCTGCATGAAAATTTTTAAACATTTTATCCACGTTATCAAAATAATGAAAAATTTGGAGGTATTTTCAATTCGGTTTGGCTCAGGTAAAATTTAATATTTTCCCGAAATATTAGGCGGAAGACTTAAAATATAATAAATTTTATAACTCCGGTAAAAAATTCCGCGATTTGTTTGGTGATGCCCCTTAATGGACATATGTAAATAAAATTCGAATAGACAAAAAATAAAAATAATAAATCAATTGTGTAAAAAATGAAAAATAAAGGTAATTTATAATTTATAGCAAATTTATTATTCGCATTGAGGTAGATTTTCATAAGTGATACTTTTAAGGCAAATTTTAACTTCAAACGTCGTTCCATGAACACAGTAATAAAAAATCAGAGCATGAGAAATTTAAAAAATCTAGAAAAATTTGTTTTCAAAAAAACGAGTACTATATATATTAAACAATGAGCTTATTTAATTTTCCCCAAAAATTTATTTTTCTAAATTGAAAATTTGTGTATCTAATACATAGATATAATTTTTTTATAATTCTGGTTGATATTATTTTCCTAAAATGTGTTTTCTCATAATCGTATTTCGTTAAAAATCTTAAAAAAATGTGCGTTCTCCTCAAACGAGATTTTCCTGTAAAATTTTTATGTATCCTTAATATTATTATTTTGTTTTTTAATTTGTATTCCTAAAAATAGTTTTCACAAGAAGGGATTAGTTTATTAATTTTTTTTTAATGTTTCCCACGGTCCTGAAAGGGTTAAATATTTGAAATTCATTCATAACCCATTTAACTCGAAATGCTCGAAGTTCTAAGAGAAATATAGTGCTTATCATAACTATATGTACGACACTCACATATTGACAAGATTTGACTACTTATTTTATTATTTTTTAGTTTTTGTTATACGTTTGTAAAAATAAAGTTTATTCTTTAACAAAAACCATGTAAAAAACGTCAAAATAATTTCGTAAAAATTTGAGCTTTTTAATTAGATTTCTTAGAAATGTTTTGGGTATGCAGTTTGGTAGCCCATTCAATTTTGGTGCAAGGTGGCGCAAAAGTAATCATTTAATTTTGTTTTTGAATAACTTTTTTACTACATTAAAAAAAAATAAATATTTTGAGTGATGGAAATCGACCCTTACAATTTTTTCAATTGAGTGGAAAAGATGTTATCCATCAAGTGGCTGTCGCCAGTGCTGTTGATACACGTTTGTGCTCGTTTTGTCGCATTTTCGTTGATTTTCGGTGATAACTGTTCGCTTTTCTGCCGAATATTCTCCTTGAGGGCTGCGAAGGTGTGAGGCTTATTGGCATAAATCTGCGACTTCAAGTAGTCCCGAAGAAATAAGTGATTAAGAAGAAGTGCAATTTTTTGTTTTGCTCATTTTCTTCATATAAAAAAAAAACGTCGAACTTACCTCAGAGAAGAAAAGGAGTGGCATTGTCATCGAAAATATTGCCAAAAATCAACGGTAAGTCCCAGCTACTTCAGAGTTGCATTTTTTTAATTGAATGGCCTACAAAACTGCATACTCAAAATATTTCTAAAACATCTAATTAAAAAGTTCTAAATGTTTACGGAAGTTTGTTGATTTTTTATGAAAGTTTTCTAATTTATTTTTTAATATTGCACAAACATTAAAACTTGAACTTATACGTTTTTGTTGAAGAATAAACTATGTTTTTGTAAACAAGTAATTAAAATTAAAAAATAATAAAATAAATAGTCAAACCGTAAAAATATGTAGATGTCGTAAAGTTATGATAAGCACGATGCGAACTTTCGTCTTAGGATTTTTTTTCCAAGTTTTTCGAACATCTATAGAATATCGCATACAAGGAATATAAAGTTTAAGAAGTATAAGTTAAGTACTTGAAGCAAGTTAAGTAACTAAAAAAGTATACAAAAGTAAGTGTAAAAATTAAACTGCAAATTAAAAATATCCTTAGCTACTTGAAAATTAAATAGTTATGTAATATATATTATAAGTAAGTCCAATAAAGAAACTACTACATAAATAAGTAAATAAAGGCCCACATATATGGATGTATGTATTAGAAAAAAGAAGGCACACTTCATGTTATCTTATGTAAGAAAATGATTTTATATTTATTATTATGTAAATACTCGTATTTTCACAAATAAAATATATATCTAAACATAAGTACTAATGTAAATATGTCACAGCAAGAAATAACTATGCGTGTTAAATGGTACTAACCACTATTCTAAGAAAAAATAAATTTTAAGTAGCGCTTAATTCCCATACACTAGATTATAAAAAAAATCATACATAAAATCAATTAAATAAGAATATTCTATTCCACTCGGAACAGATTTCAAGATATAAAGATATGTAAGTATTATAAAAAGTTTGTTTGTAAAATTGTAAGCAAAACCACGAAACCAAAACAAATAATAGAAATAATTAAGCAACGTTTTTGTATAATTTCTGAAAATAAACACTAAAATAATATGCTGAATTTTTTATTTGATATGCTTTTATTTTGGGATATTTTCAAAAGTAAGTACATACTAACGAGAAAAACATAAGTATACAATTATAGAAAATTTATATAATTCGAAAGTAAATCCTGTCTTGAACTATGCTCGCTCCGATCTTTCAAGAAGTAGTAAGTACACTAGATTTTTTTGTAATTTTTTGGATTTTTTTTTTGTTTTTTTTTTTTTTGCAATGCTAGATGCTTTTGTAGAAGTTTTTTATTGTGTCGGGGGAATATTCCATCATTTTTAATTCAAACAGAACCGCATTTTAAAATACGTTCGGTTACAACTTGTCCAGTCCGCATTCACTGTCTTCTGCCACAGTCCATGCTAAAAGAAAAATTTATTAATATTAGATAGAATAAGAAACTGCACATGAATTATAGAAGTAAATAAGAAGGTAGTCAATTATTTATAAGTATTTATGTAGATAAGAAGCCTTTTGTGTAACCGAGTAGTTTATACACAAGTCGCGCCTACCCTACAGCGCAGGACCCATTATCAAGGTAACCAGTAGGGATGTTTGGTAGATATTTGGTAGACATACAGAATCCGGATACTTTTTTGGTTATCGGACTTTAGGGCAGATTACTGCTCGAACCTGAAAGGATTTCCGGATTTGGACTCTAGAAATATTAGTTTGAGGCCCTTTTTCGGAAAAAGATATTTGTTGTATTTTTTTTTTTTTTTGTATCAAGACTTATAATCAAGGTAAAAAATATTTCATTTTTTTTTTTCATTATGAAAAGAAAATTTTCCGCATTAAAGGGCAACGAACATTAAGTCGAAAGCGCGTCTGCTTCTTTATTGACGCTGCAACCGCCTAAACCAACTGACGCCAATTGGAAATACCAAGTGTAGCCAAGTCCTTCATCGCCTGGCCTTTCCAACGCAGAGGATTCCTTCCTCTTCCTCTGTTATCAGCATCATTGTCCTTGCCTTCGCGGAATATACCAGCACGCGCATGATGAGTAACTTATAGAGTGTGATTTCTGTACGACAAGGGAGGAATTAACCTCTCAATTGGCTACTTAATCCAAAGTAGGAGTTGTTGGCAAGAGTGATTCTCTGTTGTTATTATTGGTGTTAATGCCGGTTCGTAAATAAACGAAAGCCTCTAGTTTTTCAAACTTGTAACTGTCAACAGTGACATGGGTGCCGAGACGTTTATGCTCGGACGGTTTTTCTGATGACAGGGGATACTTCATTTTATTTCTACTCTATCTAATTCTGAGAAGGCTGAACAGACGTAGCCCTTGGGATTTACCGATGATGGCGATTTCGTCGGCATACTTCAGCAATTATATGCTCTGAGCTTTTGAGTTCTGCATCTCTTATTATCTTCTCCAACATCAGATTAAAGAGTCACCTTGTCTGAAACCTGGTTCGCTATCAAACGGCTCGGAGAGGTCGTACCCACTTCTAGCAGAGCTGGTGGTATTGCTCAACGTCATTTTACCCAACCGTATTCGTTTCTCCGGGATATCAAATTCAGACTTCGCGACATAAAGACAACCTCTTTTCAAGCTGTCAATCGACTAATAGATGGTGTGTATCGATCCTATTATCGCGAGTCTTGTCCAAGATTTGGCGTATTGTTAAGGCCTGGTCTATGGTGGATTTGATATGGTCTAAAGTCACACTGATAAGGCCGAATCAGTTCGTTGACGGTGAGCTTCAGTCTTTCACACAATACGCTCCAAAAAACCTTGATCGGAGGGCACTTAAACTCCAGTCGTCGGGCCATAGAATGTATCAGCGGTGAGCGGCGCCGCCCCACCAATCAGAAATGCCGCTCATTGCGTGGCCACTTCAATAGTATTTCATATGTTTTCATTTTAAGCAGCTCACTACTCAGCCGCTCGCCGCTTTGCTGCTCATTGCTTGTCCTCGGCATGAGAGTTTATGCATACACCTTATCAACTCCTCGCCGCCGTACTTGAACAGCTCGGCTTGCAGGTCAGCTTTTTGTTTTTAGCCGGGTAATAACCAGGCGGTGGAACATCGACTTGCTCATCATTGACTGGGGGGAGCGCTCAGATTCGTCTTCTCCACTACTTCCAGTGCTGCTGGACATCAGTCAGTAGGTTGCCATGTTCGTTCTTATGGCAGTCGCCCTAGTCTTGGAAACCTTCCGTAAGTTGCCTAACTCTTCGGGTGTTTTTTTTCTCTCGACCAGCATTTTAAGCTCTTCGCATACACGTATTTCGACCTTTTTCTTCTTATTGCAGCAAATACGTCTCGTTTCCCTCTTCTGTTCCCACGTAACGTTCCCACTTAGCTCGCGTTGGCCAGCTAAGGTTCATGCCGGGTGCTTCAGCCTCAAAGCTGAATTCCTAAGTACCTAATTCTTTCCAGGCATATATTTTGTATTATCAGTTTATGTAAATGTATGTAGGTATACTCCATATATGTATTTGTTTATCATAAACTAAAACCACATCATAGTCCTTCATATTTTAATACTCACCATCAACAGAGAGGCAATTCTCCACAGCTAAAACGCAGCTATTACCGAAAATTTCTTTAACTTTGCCATTCGAAGCACAAATCGGTTCGTAAATGAAGGGACAAGGACGCAAACATTGTTGGCGTAACAAAGGATCGATATGCTGTAGACAAGACGACAGGGATGTGATGCGCCAAACTGCAATTAAAAAGCATTTAAAAGTTTCTCGATTTAAGTTACAAACAAATAGTTAATAACTATTACAAAGTAATTTGCCAAAAAAAAAAACAACAACAAACAAGCAAACCGCGCTCACCTGTGCCTGTGCTGCAACTTGCATAACGCCGTAGACAATCATTGTGAAAGTAGCGATATACGGCTGTGCCGCCTGCCTCACTGCCAGACTCCTTTTTTCCGCCTAGTACGCCATCGTAGACCGCACAAACAGGATCGAAGATTTTCGGGCAGGCATTTGTGCATTCCTCGCTGCCATCAGATTGCTCGCCTTTTGCCGCTGAGAGGATAATGAAAAATACTACCGTTGCCGCGATTTTCATTTTTTATTTTTATTTATTTTGTTTGGTTTATTTTTTGCACTGCTTGGTTACTTGTTGCACCAATAGATTTGCACTGTATTGCAATCGGATTAAAGTTTGCATTTTATACAAAATCTTGTGCACTTTCAGCAACATTTTTGTTTTTTTTTTTATCACGGAATCTTTATGTTGTTAAGCTGCGTGGAATAAAATGAAATGCTTCTTATTTGTATAGCAATTCGTCGATGCAGTGAATTCTTATCGGTTATCCAAACTGTATGCGTAACCTTGGCACTGAAGTGCCAGGTTGAGGCAGCACAAAGTTGGGCAATGAATAAATGGAGTGGCACAACGGTGTTTATTTATTAATGCATAAATGTGGAGAGCATATTTTTTTTTTTTTTTTGTTTTTTTTAAGAGTATGTAGGCACTTTTGTGTCTTGTTGTGCCATAATGCACCCTTAAAGCATAGATGTCCAAACATTCGGGTTTCCTTGGCTTAATTGGAAGAAGACATGGTTTTTGGGCCACAAATTTAGTAACACTGTAACACACAAATAATTCATAAGAAAAATGGGCTGCGATTTGCACAGGCGCACAAGTCGAATTCCTACACTAGCTGGACAAAATTTTGAAAATCAAAGCCATGTGAATAGCGTCAAAATGCCGTGGCTTACTTCTTGATACAATAGATAATTGTAACTAATTTTTGTTTTTTTTTTTAACTCATTCACTAATAAAAGAATATAAAGCTTATAAGTTGGCTAGTCGATGCAAGACCTAAACAACAACCATATTCAAGTGTTGTTGCAGTCCCGTCTGCTCAGTGACAGCAAGAAACTTGAGATCGAAAGCAACATGAGTTTTGCCCACTTGCATCCCCTCGATGCCTCCTAGTCATTGCTGAGCGAAGTATTCACCCAGTTTCTGATGGTGGTATAGATGGCCAAAGTAGGAAGTGCTATGACTGGTTGCAGATCGAGAAATGCCTGATCTAAACCAACTATGGCCAAATGGTCAGATGTCTGATTATCAGGTACTCCGGAGTGACCTGGCACCCAGTGTAAAGCAAACTCGTTATGTTTACCAACATAATTTAGTCCAGACTTGCATTGCCGAACTACTAGTTTGGAAGTACTTAGGTAGGGGGCTGGCCAATGTCTTAAGTGCAGCTTGGCTGTCACTGCAGACACGTAAATTCCTTCCCCTCCATCTAATTTCTCCCACGTAGTCAATCGCTTTGAGGATTCCAATTACCTCAGCCTGGAAGACCGAAGTGTATTCCCCAAGAGAAAAATGAAGCTTATCCCCATTAACTTCGGTAAAGACCCCAGAGTAAATTTTGGAGCCATCAGTGAAGATTCGACAATGAGTGAGTCCGGACTCAGTGCTAGAATTAAGCCAGCATTCAGCCTCAGGGAGCTCAACATTATAATCTCTTCAACAAAGGTAATAGTTACGTACTATGCTGTAGCATTGAAAATACATAAGTACCCCACTCAAATTTGTACCAACATCCGTTTCTTTTTAGTTAAATAAAGAGGCTTCTAAGCAACCAGTTTGGTTACTATCGAAACCTGATACATTTTCGTGGACACCCATATTTTTTATGCCAACGTAGACCCCCCTCGAGTCTATCGTGGAACACTAGGCGTTCACATGGACCACTTTGGGAATCACTGTTTTAAACAAACGAGCCTGTAAACTGCAAAATAAATCAAGCGACCTCTGCTGGACTTTTTTGTTACAACAGTCGACGGCTAGATGGCGCTGTTATATGTAAGTATTTCGCTTGCTCCTCTGAATCACTGAAGTGAGGCGACAACAAAAGCTGCTCGCTGTTAAGCAACGACAGAAGGAAGTATGTATTGATTTTAGACTATATAATTGTACATAGTATAGCAAGGAATGTAAAATTTACTTTAAATCTACGTTCTTAATATTTAAATTTACGTTCACATAAATGTCAGCTGCTGGTTAGTTTCACTACAGCCGCCTTGCTTGTGTTCAGCCCTTTATATATCACAACAAATAGATATCGATTTTTACCGGCAGGCGTCGCCCATCGCATTATGTTGCCAGCTGTTTCTTTGCCATTTAAAAAGTAGATATGTGACACAGCTTCGTGATTTACTATTAAAAAAAAAAACAACTATAATTAAACATAGACATACATTCAAATCAACGAGCTTAAGTCGAAAAAATTTAAAAAAAATTAAATCAATTTTATAAATTTGGTAAAAAAAGTTACTCCTTCGCAGTCGGTAGGATTCGAACCTACGCTCCCAGAGGGAATCTGATTTCTAGTCAGACGCCTTAACCGCTCGGCCACGACTGCTGTTTATGTGGTGCTGCTCAATGCGCCATAAAAGTAAAGGGGCTACAAACAACAACAAAGTTCAATACCAAAGTTGAAAATACGTACTTGTTTGGCAACAATGCATTTTTTATTGACATTAAAAAATTGCAGAATAATATATCATTTGTAGCGTATGCTTACTCATAATCCGTTGATATTTATATCACTTACAGTTGTCAACAAAATAAAGGGAATGCGATATTTTCACCAGTCAAGAATATTTTTCCTTCTCGATTGTTGCTTAATGGTCAATTTCCTTTGTTTGTTTGGTTTTTATTAATTTTTTATGAAAGTATAGCTCATTACCTGAAAAACCATATCGATCGAAGTTTCAAACTTTGAGAAAAAATTATAAAAATTCAACACATGTTTACCAAAATTTCATTCTTTTTATTGAAATATTTTTTTTTTAATTTAAAGTATGCATTTTTATAGCCCATTTAATTTTAGTACAAGTTTCAAGTAAGAAACGATTTTTTTTTTTTTTTTAATAAATTTTATATAGCTGTGCAGCTTTGCATGAAAGTTTTCAAATAGAAATGTTACAAAATCAAAGTTAGGGGAATAATTTAAAAATTCACAAAATAATTAGTCGCCTTTTAAGCTTTCCGCGCAGTCGGTAGGATTCGAACCTACGCTCCCAGAGGGAATCTGATTTCTAGTCAGACGCCTTAACCGCTCGGCCACGACTGCATTTGGTTCCGTTGTGTCAATAGCACCATATGAGTTTAGTAAAAATTACTTACATACATATATACAGTATCTAACCATTTAATTAAGACCGATGTCAAGTTTCACAGTGTGGCGGCCTTAAATTGTATTATGTATGTACATATATCGGCAAAATGTACATGTAATCATTGATGAAATGGAGGCTTGCTCGAGTTGCAATCACAACTGCAGTGTTGCGCGAATTACATATTAAAGTATCACATTCGGTGTGAATTTCTAGCAACGTGTTATCATTTGGGCAGTTGCAACAGTGTTGCAAATTTTCATCAGTGCGGCAGTAATGCCACTTTTATTACGTGCCTTGAACAGGCCCTAGTTCTGATTCAGTATTCCGTGAACTCACAGGTTTGTACACGAACTAGCTGGAAGTTACAGGATAAATGTTCCCGTACTCCAAAATCCTATAAAATCATGAAAAGTGTCAAGCGATCAGCTGTTACTCAAAAATGAACAAAAATTGTATGTTGTTAGGTTGAAAGTGAAAAGTTCTTGGCTAGCAATCAACTTTTAATTTATTGCCTTCCACGTGCTCGGTTTCTGTTTTAGTATGGAAGGAGACTGGCGTAAAATTGTCCATTCGCGTTAATTGCTTTTTCAAACTATCCATCTTAAAAAGAGAAAACGCACAGAACTTTATGTAGTTTTTTTTATTATTTTTTTCTGAATTACACACAATACAAGTGTTTTTTTCCAAATTGTTTGCACACATATAAATGTAATTGGTTTTTATCGCTAATATTTTATTTTTTTATTGTATTTATTTTGCCATTGCATATTGTTAACAAATTTTCGTAAGCATTCTTCTAAATCATTTCGGTAGAATTTAAAGCATTTAATAAATATAAATAAGAACACATTCGTTTTTTTTGTACGAATTTTTTAATAACCTTTTTTTTTGTTAAACAATGATTTACTTATTAATTTTGATATTTACTGCCTGTAATTCAGCTTAAAAAGGTGGAAAATTCAGCTATTTCTGCAGGCTTTGCTTTGTAGTAGAGCTGATTGGTGGAAATGTTTACGCTATTGTCATAATGCTGACCATAAATGTGACCATGAAGTATTTATTAATGAATATATATATGTATACAGTGCCAGCCAGTATTAAGTATTGTTTTTTTAATAATCCGAATTCAAAATTTATACGAAATTTATAATTCAACAAATTACCATCAAAATTTCAAAAAAATTTTTACGAAAAAATAGATTTTGTTCATACGTTGCATGGCAGAAAACGTGCAACAACCTCGGCAAAAAATATCAAAAACCAAGGGTACTTTCTATGCCCTTGAAATTTGCACTTCATTGCCTACTACATTTTTTTTTTTAAGTTTGAAATTTGGTTGAAATACGTTTTGCATAAAGTTTGAAAATCGCATTTACATGGTTTTTGTTATAGAATATAAAATAAAAAAATATATAAAAAGTTATTAAATATTAAATAAACACAAAAAAAAACTCTCAATACTGAGGATCAGAAGTGGGCGCTATACAAGTGGCCGCCACTGTATACATATGTATATCCATATGCATCTATGGTTGGTATGTGTACGTAATGTTCAAGTCTGAGTACTTGTACCCTCTTTTTAATTATGTTTTTCTATATTCTGTATTAAGCACTGAACAGATATTATTGGTATGAATTGATTTTTTTATTGAAAATCTAACAATATTGTTGTGACATGATACAATATTTTTTGAAACATTATTGCAATATTTGTTTTTATTTTTATTGTTTTTTTATTTCATTATCTTAATTAAAAATTAATTAAAGTCACAATGTGTCAAAAAAAGTCATTTCAAAAAAGAACAAGTACGTACTACATATTAAAATAAGGCCTTTTGCATAATACCTTGTTACGTTTATAAATAGTTTAATATGCCTTGCACTGTTTTGTTTATTTTTATTATATTTTTTTCTTTGTTTTTTTTATGTATGTTACCGCATTACTTTGGACCACGTTAACCGATTTCTATAATTCTTGTTTTAAAGGAAAGGTGTTACCTCTCAGGTGGTCTCATGCTAATTTGGTTTAAATCCGATCATTGGATCATGAAGAAATTAACGATAATCTTAAATTTTTATACGAGAATTGAAGCCCGCTTTGGTTTTTTGCTTAAAAATTACTTGTTTTTTTCATAAAATAGTTAGATTTTTATCGTTATAAATTTTTAAATAATAAGGTGCTGAAGCTTTTGCCAAAGGCTATTATTTATTATTATGTTTCAAGATATTGAAACATTTTTGTAATACGGAAAGTTGAACTAAAAGCTAGAATAAATTATTTAAACTGAATGCAGAGAAGTTAAAACAAAAAAGTTTGAATATATTTTTGAGCAGTAGTTTTGTAAAATGCATTTTTTTAAGTAATACTCGTAAGAAGTATCAAATAGAGTTGAACGAAGGATTATGCGACTTCAAGTCAGAGACTTAATTTGAAACCTTTTAAAGAAATACTTATCATGTTACATACATATGTACATATGTACTCCTATACACCGTGGCGGCCACATAATAGAGGACACCACATCTTTAGAAGTTTCGACCATTTCTTTTTAATACATTTTTTTTTACAAAAATATACATAGGTTATACCACAGCAAAAACTACATAACTCAAAGTTTAAAACCTTTCGTTCTGATACAAATTATATTTTTGTAAAAAATTTAAAAAAAAAATAAATGGTCAAAACTACAAACTACAACTGTCAAACGACAGCTTCGTATTGGTGAAACATTTAGGTCATTAAATTGTCAAAAAGTCATCATTGCGTAACTAGTTCCGAAGTACTCCGAAATGATATATGAATAGAGTCCCAAAATAGTATTGAGGTAGTTCCGAAAAAGTCGTGAAATGTAATTGCATTTGTTTTGAACGCCAGTGTAAATCGTAGTCAAATACGATTTTGAAACTTTTAATAAAAAAAAAACTTGGAAACAATTTCGCAAATCGTACTTTTCAAATGAATTTCTGAACACGGCTAAAAATAGTGTAGAATTTATACATAAAGATTTTGCTCAAGACAAATCCGCCTCAAGTTTAAACCTAAAAACATTTCTTTTTTTTTACATTTTAACTAATAAGCTTCTTTTTGGTTGCATCACATTTTGCATATTAAAATTAAAATTATTAAAGAACTTAAGTACAAAACTGCAAGTGCCTTGATTTTCATAAAAAAAGTTCTTTGGAACATACAATTTTTTATTTTGCATTTTCTTAGCCATTTTATTGAACTAAACTTGCATTTCATTGTGAATTACAGCCGAGCGCAAATTAATACAATAGATACATATGCTATTGTTGGGCAGTTGGGCATTTATAATTAATTATTAAATGCGAGAACCGGAAACATATGTATTTTATAAACAATTTGACAGTTTGGTTAGTTACATGACTCCACTCGCAGTTTTCGAGGTGTTTTTTTTTTTCAGTTTAACCCTAGAATACGAAGATAATTTTTTTCTCAATTAATACTAATGTTCGCCTGTGAGGCTACCGGAGGAAAAAGATACACATTTTTTCTTTTTAAAACCTTAATTTTTGTATCTCAGAAGCTACTAAAAGAAATAAAAAAAATTTAATTCATAAATCCAATATTGCCAAAACAAAATGCATATTGAAAGTAAACAAACTTTTCATAGTTTCTTTTTAGAGATAATGTGGGCATTGACACCTATCTGGTCATCGGGTTATATTTTTCATTTAGTTTACAACAAAAAACTTCATAGAATAATAATTTTTAACTAGATAATCTGATAACCATGCAAGAGATAATTAAATTTATCTTACTTTTAAATAAAAACTGATTATTTTGTTTCTGACGAAATTACATGAATTAAATATATAAACTACGTAATGTTTTGGTTGCTATTTTCGTTGAGATGCTGAATTTGAATTTCTTCAATAAATATTTAATTTTACTTTTCAACAGCATAGAAAATTAAATAGTACTTTACCTAAAAATAAGCAATGCTTTGCAATTCCTCAAAGAGATAACTTAAAGTACATATGTATGTACTTAAAACTAAATGCATACTTAATAATACATAGTATGTACATAAAATTGTGGTGTTTCGAAAAAAAAAATGTAAAAAGAATACTTCGCATATACATACATACGTTGTATTTATTATGTAAAAAATAGTTTGCGAGTATAAAATAAAATACATAAATAACTGCTTAGCAAATGCAGAATCGTTAATTTGACATATAAACACATACATACATACATAAATGCAATACATCTAAATAAAAAAAAATCGGAGTTTCCGTTCGAAGCCATCAAATGACTTCAGCGCATAATTTAGTTTCTTCTTCTCCTTAAAGTTTAAATATTTGCAGTTGCATTATTTTATTATTTTTTAATTGTGCACAGAACCAGAACACACAAAATATTATAAACAACAAATGCGCCATAAACATTTCATATTTTTAATTATTATTTTTTTCCATTCAGCAAATACAAATTAAAAAAACATACAGGCCAAAAAGGCAAAGCGAAACGCTGGTTTCTTGTGTTTACTTCAATGCATTTGTGTACGGAACTTTTGAGCATGATTTCGATACTTCTCATTGTTCTTATAGGCGTGCGATTTCCATACTAAAGTTTTTTTTTTTTTTTTGTAAAAATGCGTTTTCCAACCTTTCCAACTGCACATAGCTTTATATAGCAACTTTTTGTATGCCAGATTCAGCAGCATCCATATGCAGCATTACTATGGAGCCAACCATGGCGACCACTGTGCGATCCAGCCATGTAACGGGATTGGGATAAATTAAGCCACCTTCATAGAATCCCAAATGTCCGCCGTGGGCCAATTCAATGTAAGCCGTATTGGGACGGGACACTGCAAACGAAGAAGGGAATATATTATTTATGACATCTTTTACTTACAATAGAAAAATTTAACTACGCAATGAATAAAAAAAACAGCTTATAAAAATTTAATAAAAAATAAAGATAAATAAAATATATATAAAATAAAAAAATTAGTATATAAAATAAAAAATCTATACATATAAAATAAAAAACAGAAAAAATAAATACATAATAAAAAAATTAATATAAATAAAAAGATGGAATATGTAACAAGAAAATAATTTTATTAAAGAAATAAATTATAAAAAAAAATATAATTAGCAATAAATGAATAAAAAATAAAAAAAAAATTAACTTCCTTCGCAGTCGGTAGGATTCGAACCTACGCTCCCAGAGGGAATCTGATTTCTAGTCAGACGCCTTAACCGCTCGGCCACGACTGCTGCTTAGCGAGCAGCGGCCAAATGACTATTTTGTCAAAGCTTACTCAGAGCAAACAGTTCTCAACTAACGCACAGGGTTGCAAATTCGCAGGGTGCACTGGATGATTATTTTTTTTTCGTTCGAAAAAACTTTTTTGATGATGCATTTCCCAACATCATTTTTTTGCAGTTGTTCGAAAAAAAAAATGTTTGATGATGCGTTTCCGAACATTTTTGCAATTTGCAGGTTTTAAATATAAAATAAAAAAACAACAAAAACGAGTTTAGTCCATTAAGAGTGCGAACAACATACATATGTAGATACAGCAGTGTTCACGAAAATAGCAGCGTTACGTACTGACAAGTTTGACGATTTAAATTACTTGTATTTCATTTTAATTTTTTTTATATAAATGCAATTAATTCTACAACAAAAACCATACAAATAAAAGTGTCAAACTTTCTATAAAAATTCAACCAAACTCAACAAATTTTCATAAAACTTTAAAACCTTTTTATCACAATTTTTAGAAAAATTTATTAATTAAGACCGCAACAATAATTTTTAGCCCGCGCGGGCATAATTCATTTTGAAAAGTGAAATTAGAGCGGCCATGAAACAAGGTGACCTTAATTCACGCGGTCTTAATTCTATCTATCCTATATGGCATGTGGCGCCGTCCTGTTCAATCAAAATATGGAATGTCACGAGGTAATCGGCAATCATGGCCCTATAGCGATAGCCGTTGACAGTCACATCCTTGTTATTCTCGTTTATATTAGAAGTAACGGCGATGCAATTTTTTTATTGGCATATCCATGCAGCCAAAAATTAGTCTCATAACTGAAAATTCCGATACAATTGTGGGTTGAAATTCCCAAACTGCGCTATGATTTTCGTAATAAATTTGCACAATTTGTGAGCGTGGGTCTGTGACCGTCTCTACGATGGGCAATAGGTTAGTATAGCCTCTTAGAAAAAGACCTTTCTCCGATTCTATTCCAGAAGAAAAAAATGATGTTTAACCTCCATTCTAACCAGCTCCATGCGGAAAATGGCATATCTCTCATAAACTTGGAGACAAGTCTACGTCAAAAGCGTTCGGAAGCTGAGCTAAAAAGGCTATACAATTAAAGACAAACAAATAAGCAGTGTGACCAGGTTAGCCTTTTGAGGATAGATTTACCAATTATGTATATTTTGCTCCAACTAAAAAATTTTAGATCAAGCTTGGGGCTTACTTCTGGCTTTTGCTAATGCTACCTTTTGTCTAAGTAATTTTCATCTTTTTAGTACTCGCGGGCACAGATGTCAAATAAAAAGAGAATTGGAACAAGCGTGTCGAAGTGTACACATGTGGAGCAAAGTTAAAATAGTAATGTGTCATCATTAAATATTTGGTGAAAATTTCCGCTTGTATGAGAAGCCGATTTAGGAGGCCTGAAACTTCCATACAAAACAAAAATTAGGAAAAAAAGTAGAGCAGAGCCGCTGTATTTTAATCAGCCACTCTATATCTACATATATATATATATATATATATATCGTTGCAAAGATCGAACAGCTCATCGTTTTTGAGTATAAAAAGGAAAATAACCTAGTATCGGCGAAAACCAATCCCCCACTTAAATTTGCATTAATTTAACTCACTGCTTAACAACTTACATGCAAACTCCTTAATGGGTGGCAGCAACTCTTCCGGCACAAGTGGATCGTCCTTGGCATTAATGAATATCATAGGCTTTTCAATGTTGTCTAAAAAGTGTAATGATGAACTCCACTTGTATAACTCTTGTGTAGTTGAGAAATTATGTATACGACGTGTATATGCTTCATCCAATTCCGGCAGTGTAGCGGCAGCAATAATTTCGCGTTCATTTAAATTATGACGTGCCTTTACCTCGTCCGATAGTAAAACATGACGATGCTTCAGTATGATACTCTTCACATTCTCTGTCATCACATACAAATAGAAACGGCGGAAATTTTGCCAATTTAAGAGCCATTTGGTGCCTCTGTGGAAAGAAAAATGTACATATGTAAAGATACAATTAAATTTTATTAATTTTCGCAATCCAATAAATATTGACCAAAGTGTATTGACATGCAGGCACAGGCCGGCAGCCCGCGGACATGCACATAACAAATTGATTGAGATTGTTGCACTTACTCTTCTGCATTGTAGCCCTGACAGATTGATATGCCACCAAGTATTGTTTGCGGCTTCGTTTTTGTTGTCTCGCCCATATATTTCGTGACAAGATTGCCACCTAAGCTAAAGCCAACCGCAACAATGCGGCTATGTGGATATTTCTTGTGTAAATTGCTGACCATTTCGGCAAAGTCATCGGTGTGGCCTGGAAATAGGTGTATGAAATATTGCATAAATGGAGTTTGAGTCATTTAGAAAAATATCGCTTTCAAGAAACATTACATTGGTGTAAAATGATCTACTCAATCCGAGTATGACCGAGATTCTCTGCAAAACTCATTAGGCCAGTCAATATACATAGCAATTAAAGTGGAAAAATTTTTCCACAGAATAAAAAAAGTTCATACCTAACATGCTGTTGAGAAAAATATTTTAATTTATCCTCTCTTCATTTGGCAGGAAATATTTTTAATTAATTAAAACCTAATCAAAATTATTGCATCATTGACTTATCACAGAAAAAACAGAAGTTGTCGTAATTTTTTGAAACTAAACTGGTTATTTTAACGGTTACCCTTTTCAAAAAACTCGGGTTTTTAGCACCGGTTACCAACTTGGAGATAAGCGTAGTGGTTTTTCATTATATCGTAAAAACGGAGTGCCACGCCCATTTTTTAATAAAAAAAAAAAACGATTTGCGTTAAGATTTCTATGTAGTAGATCAACTTAATAATCATTAAAACCTCGCATAATTTGAAAACTTTCCAACTCTTTTCTTAGTAATACCATGAACAATATGTGTGCATTAGGGTCGTCCAAAAATGCACGTGAAATAGTAAAGTCGGAATTTTTATACTCTCACCGAAAAAAATATACCCCTATTTTTATTTTTATTTTTTTTTTTTTTTGAAATCAAATATTATTCAGAGGTC